GTGCCACCTGGCGTCCCCCCTCTGCATCTCAAGCCTGGACTCAGATTGATCACATCGCGATCAGCTACCGCTGGCGTGGTTGTGTATAAGACTGCTGCTCCTTTTGGAGTACCTATCTGGACTCTGATCATTCCCTGGTCTGCGCAAATCTTACCTTACTTTTCAGTGGACAACGAAGTGACCGCCACCAAAGGATTGATGTTGTCCCTATCTTTAAGAAGGGTTCCTGTAACAACTATCGGGGGATAAGTCTACTTCCGATTGCGTCCAAGCTATTGGCTTCCATCATTCTTCGTAGGTTGTTCAATACCCGAGAGATATTGACTCGTGAGGAGCAGGCTGGGTTTCGTTCCGGTCGAGGATGTATTGAACATTTCTTCACCCTCCGCCAAATGTTAGAACACCGACATACTTATCAAAGGCCAACAATCGTAGTGTTTCTTGATATCAGGGCTGCCTTCGATTCGTTGGACAGAACTGTTCTCTGGGATTGTCTATTGAAGAAGGGTGTGCCTGAGAAGTTTATTAACATCCTAAAAGCCCTATACACAAACACCTCAGGCAGAGTGAGGGCATACAACCACCTTTCTCCACTATTCCATTCAAACGGTGGGGTTAGGCAGGGTTGCCCAATCTCACCATTCCTCTTCAACTTTGCCATCGATGACATTCTGTAAACAGCTCTGGCGGATGTAAGTAATGGTGGTGTGGATCTGTCGCCTGGAGAAAGACTTCTCGACCCTGAGTATGCGGATGATATTGTCTTACTGTGCGAGAATGCCCAAGCTATGCAATCCGCACTTAATCAGTTGGCAATCAGTGTCCGAAGGTATGGTATGTGCTTTGCACATTCGAAGTGCAAAGTACTTCTACAAGATTGGCGGGATTCTAATCATGTACTTACTCTGGATGGTGAGCAGATAGAAGTAGTCGAGAAGTTCGTGTATCTAGGTAGCTGCATAAGTGCTGGTGGTGGTGTGAGTGATGAGATCAATGCACGTATAGTGAAAGCCAGAGCGCCTTATGCCAATCTGGGCCATCTTTGGCGCCTTCGTGATGTTAGTCTGGTTGTAAAAGGTCGGATCTACAACGCGTCGGTGAGAGCAGTTCTGCTCTATGCTTGTGAAACCTGGCCTCTCCGAGTTGAGGATGTTAGACGACTCTCTGTGTTCGATCATCGTTGTCTCCGAAGGATTGCTGACATCCAGTGGCAACACCATGTTAGTATTGTAGAGGTTCGGCATCGTATGTTCGGGCACAGAGACGATAATGCAATTAGTGTCACCATCTTGAAACACCGACCTCGGTGGCTTGGAAATGTTCTACGAATGTCGTCCCAGAGAATTCCACGTCGTGCATTATTTGCCGACTCTGGGACTGGTTGTAAAAAGCGGAGAGGTGGTCAGTGTATGACATGGTGTCGTGGTATGAAAGAAAGCTGCAAAGGGCTAGCTTCTGTTGGTCCTTCACGACTCCCTGGCTGGGGTCCGAGAGATGGTGCAACACAGTGGCTAGAGACGTTATCAGATATGGCTCAGAATAGAAGCCAGTGGCGCTGCTGCTGTAACCTTATTTTACTTTCTTCATAAAAAGTGGTTGCTTCTTCCTTAACTGAAAAATTTCTTCTGACTGTTGCTTTTCGTTTCCCCCATTATTACTACTATTACACTACCTTACACTAATCTGTTCGTTATTGTTCTTTTTTTTATGCTCCTTTCTTTTTTTCCTACTCTTTAAATTCCCATTGTTTTGTGTGGCGCATATTTATTTGGTGCCCCCGTGTACCAATATTTATGTGTTCAAATAAATAAATATCACTTAGATACATTCTATTAACCTACATTTCATCTCTATATATGTGATTACGTAATTACTGCATGCACTATTTATATTAATACTGATATGTTATATATATATATATATATATATCTTTTGTAAAATTTTAAATACCTTCCAAGTATTATATCTTCAACAGATGATTAGTACGTTTTATTTTCTTCCAAAGTCATGTGTGTTCTATTTTATGGGTCATGAACATGTGACTTAATTCGAATTAGTGTCTTTGATTATTACAAAAATATAAATAGTATTGTAATGCCAATTATTCATGTGATATTAGAATTGAATGCTTCAACAATTGTATTGGAATGTATATGAATGTTAAGAAAAGATTAAGTATCTTAATATAACTACTATATTAATAAATCTATAATTGAAAAATACGGATACATTGTGATTAAATGTGTTTTGGTTGATAGGACTTCTGATAGGACTTCTGAATTGAATGGTTCAAGATTATGGTTAATTTAGTATGTTGCTTAGATTAATTCTGTTGTTTAATAAATTCAGGTGACAGTGTGACAATATGAATCATCAGATCAAATGTATAAGATATAGAGATGGTAAGAAGTGTGAAATGTGTGTGGTGTGGAGAGATGAGATCATCAAGTATTCTGGCGATCTGACTGATTTGATAATCAATAGTGATGTGCGTGGGGTCATGTGGCTATTAACCGTTCACTGAATTATCGAATCAGTTTATGTGTATTTCATAAATTTAATACGATAAGCAGATAAATAGACATACATACATGCATAAAAATGTACGTAGATAGAAATTAATAACTAATCACGCAAGCATGTAAAATATAATGAATTAGATGAATATGGTACGTTACATAATTATTTTGACTTGTATCATGCAACCCTGTATGGTCTTGTTGTTAATTTGTTTAGGAGTATACTTATTACCTTTCAGGTGAATAATATGATCAGTTCGAGAATTTGTCGAGATTGTTGAGTGCAATTCAGATCACCTACCGGCCTGAGTTAAAGAACCATTTAAAATTGGGATGCAGTGGACAAGTGTTTCACCATAATATGGGACTGTTCAGAAGTGCGCATCCATAACGCCGATGGATGCAGAACTCAGGACCTTCAGTCCTCACAGAGAAAGCTAAACCCTCAAACTATTGAGTCACATTCAGTGGTTTATAAGTCTAATTTTACCCATATATAACTCTACTGTAAGATGAATTCAGGTCTCACGTTTATGACCAAAGTAGTTGGAAAGCCTCAACCCAAAATATTCCACTATGTAATCAATATCATCCATTAGGATTAAAATTCAATGATTTATTCACGGAATCGAAAACTCAACAATGTCAATAGGTCTTAATTTTTCAATAACTATCGCATATTTCCTATTTACTAACATGAAGATCTTCAAAGAATATGACTCATGGTTTTTCTATTTTGTTCTTCCAACGAAGCTGCCTTAATATGTCTTTACCTTAGAGCACAGGATTCACAGTTAACGCAAGAAGAACGTCTGAAGAAGTTTCAACAAATAAGATGCCACAACTTAGGAGGTAATTACCTATCCCCTAATTGTTCTTAGGAAATCCAAAACCCGCCTTTGTTAAATAATTTATTAACTTCAGATTTGAATTTTCCGCAAGTTGTTTAGCAACTTTTAAAATATTCCTCCAAATCTGTAATGATCTCACTTTGTTTTTTCGAAGAAATACTGTATATCTCATACTTTTACTTTGAACTACTGTTTGTAGTTGTTGTCAACGGTTGTTCTATATAATAACTTGAAGTCGTTTCAGTTCACATAGAGTTAATGTTTGAAAACGATAAGTATAACTTTCTGCCTCTCGTGTGATATATGAGTTATTTAAGTGATTACTTTTTTCCTATAATAGTGTTGGGTCCATTAGGTGAAAGTCATTTTGCCCTCACCAGAATTATTCTCTAAATTCATCAGAATATTCAAACCAAAGCTAGTGAAAATCATAACCTGTAAATTTTTTTACTACTTCCATATGTTTCATTTCTCCTGCATATATATTATGTGGACGATTGTTTCTCATATTTCTGATATGGATATTATTTTCATCCCTCTACTTGTCTTCAACATTTAAACCTATAAACAACCCTATTGTGATACTTAAGATTTCCAAACAGTTAACTAACTAATAGATTATGTTTGGTAAACCACTATAAGTGACATTGAAGTGTACCATTGTAACAGAAATTTTCTTTGCTAAATTTTCATTTCTTCTTAAATTATATTTATGAAATAATAAGAGATCTTATTCACCCGTCGTTGCAGCAGTACTACTAACAATGTTACCGACAAACTAGACTGTATTTTATCAAGTGCTACATATCTAACCAGAGCAATGTGTTAGAATTTATCTAAGCCCACTGAAATAATCTCTTGATTGCGAATGAATTTTGTTATAAAGTTTATACTACTAATGATTTGTAAGTACTTGAATAAAATCATGATTATTTTACGGATAAATTAGAATCATTGAAGTTTCAATGTCCTTCATAACAGTAGAACAAATGGAAACAAATGTTTTGGTAAATATTGGTCTCATGATCTCCAAGAAGTAAAGTAGCACCACCCAAATCAAAACGTATACTATTGTATTAAAATTAACAGTTTATACTGGGACCATCATAATTACCTGATAAATAAAAGACTATTTCAAATATAATTTTAACATATAGTGACTTCTCTATACTTGGCGCCCAATTTCTGTCAAACTATTCGTTTTAATCTTGACGAATATTTGTATAAAAGACTATTTCTGTTTACTGACACGATCGAAAATATTATAACTAGTTTCCCATTGGTGCAAGATTCTTTTAATGAATAATTTAGTTCAAAGGCGATCCTATTGTAACGGTTAGGTCAGAATACTTTTTCTAAGGATAGACGAGATAATTGGTTCGTTAAGAGTAAAGTAAATGTTTGTTGTCGAAATGTTATCATCAATACTCTTTATTTACTTGAAGAAGCATAATTCATAGCAGTTTGAACTAATGTTAGTCTGTGAATAACTGTCATGCTTAGGTATCCCTTGAGGATTTATAAAACCACCTAGTGCTCCCTGATATTCATTGATTCCTCGGTTACTAATACCTGGTGATGATCACGCTTAAATTGTACACACATCAACATTTAGATCAATGTATACATAGAACATGTGATTTATTTTATTCTCTGTATAAACAATATTTATCACATTTGGGGTTTTTTATTATAGTGCTCAATAAATAACTAGGTAAGTTTCGTAGAAATAATGAATATTAAGTTGATTTTTTTTTGTATGCTTTACTAAAACCTGACGATTACTTCTAATAGTACTGTAGTTAATTTGATAATTAATATGAATAATAAAAGTTTCTAACGTATTCTTGAGCTTTCAAGTCATTGACTGAATGGTAAATTTGTTTCCAGTGAGTTATTTAGAAAATATTTTTGAAGATGTTAACTTGGACAAGATTTTCAGAGATGGATTTGATGTTAGGTAATGAATGTAGGAGGGCAACCATTTAATTTCCATACTGAAAGGTTAGACGAAATAAATGAAAAACAACGGAAGCTTATACATGTAGAGATAATGACTGAAGTTTGTGAAAAATTAAATTAGGATACTTACTTAAAAGTATGACCCGTCTATTATTTAACAAACTTGCTGCAGTAAGGATAGTAGAGTGATCTTTTGTATTCCCTTTGAAATTTAGGGGTTAGTACATAAAAGCTATGTAAGGTGGTTGGAAGTAGTCGACAGGATACTCTCGACCTAGATTTCGTGAGATTGGGTACTTCTCACTAAGATATGTGTAGTCTTAAGGAAACTGGTTTGGCCTGGAGAATCCGATCTCGCGTCACCCAACATCACAGTTTCATGTCGACTGGTTTTTATTACCTGAAATTTCAAAATAATGCAAGCGATGAGTTACTTAGATTAATAGTCACATTGCAATTCGACCAGAACTAAAAGACTGAATGAACATGACATTTCTCGGTCAACTAACAGTCAGTTACATTGACTGATGATTACTTAAGCGAAGGATAAAAGTTCCGTAATTTCGTTTTCAAAGCTCATTATATGAGCTAGTTAAACACGAATATTTACCAGTTTTTGTAGGATTATAGGCTTCTTGAACCGATGTTTCGATATTTCTTCGAATTCACATATTGATTATAAATCATGATAGGGACAAGGAATGGATTACAGATTAAAACAGCAAAAATTAATATATATTATATTTATTGAATAATTATGTACATTCTGACCTAATGGACATCTCTGGTGTTTTAAAATACGGGAAATTAATCTGAATCTGAACGCTAATATGTCTAAATGACGAATTCCAAATAATCCAGTACGCAAGTCATGGATCGTACTACGTAATGTGTAAAAGCGTTAGGTGTTCTCCTCAAAAATTAATTTAACCAATTAACTTGAATCCAACAATCAATATCATTTATCATAAAATAAAGCAGCAACCCATTCATAAATGATGATGTTAAAATATGAACATTAATGTAGCTGGAGAATTCGATTGTTTGTAGAAACATTCTTTAACAGAGCTAAAGTAGTATTAGTCAATGAGACATCTTACGCATCAGCTTAAATTATCCTAGCGTTAGGATGCCCTGCTACGGCCGAGAGTGGGATGAGTCCGTTCTCCCTCTAGAAATGCTCTCACACGGCCACGCATATATAGCCTCTGCCAGGGAAGTCCTACTCACTGTCTTCTCCCAATGGGGTTGTTGTTTACGAAATTGGAAGGACGAAAAGTGAATGTCCGGCACTTTAACCGGGTTGGTGGACATGGAGATTCCACCTAGGGGAGTTGGAAAACCTGCTTCGGTTTGGGCACCCGGTAAGTATCACAGCCCTCACACATATCAAATGAGATTTGTGTGGCGCATAAGTATTCAGTGCCCCCTTGTACCAATATCTATGTGTTCAAATAAATAAATAATCCCAGCGTTATATTCATTCTGATTTTAATCATTTATAATAGAGAGTAAATTACTTCTACGTTTTTAAATGTCTTTTTGTTGTTGAGTACGTTTACAAAAACGGGTGGAACTTTTTTCAAGTCAATATAATCAGTGAAATATTGATTAGGTAATCAGTTGGAATTACAGATTCTATTCCATAAAGAGGTTAAGGATAAAGAAATAATTATTTACTGTATTTTTGTTTCTAGTGATAGTTAAATATGATATCAGTTTATAACAGAAATAATTAAATATCAATTAATCAGTATATAATATGATAAATCATTTATGCTTTTCCACATGATAAAAAGTACAAGAAGGTGAACAGAAGAAATAAAAAAAACGCACACAATAAGAGTTCACTAACCGTGATCAGTGCAGCATAACTGGATCAGAAAAACACAATCATTTTAACAAAATGGAAAAAAAGAAACCCAGATAGACACATACATTAATGTAGGAATTAATTGAAAATTACTAAACCATTTAAATTATCATCTTTTTTTGCATAAACTATCGATCAGTCGATTTTTTTGTAGATAGATAAATAAATAAACAAAAGGATAAAAAAGATTACATCATAAAGTGATTCGAAACTCCAATTATCAAATGAGATTACGTAATAGTCAGGGGGTTAGATGAGAACCCCCTCATTTGATAATTGGAGTCTTAAATGAATAAGAATTAAACATTGGTACAACAGCTGAATGTAGTAGATTCAAAGATAGATAACTGAAGAGAAACCATGTTATATTTATGAAAAGAGTAAAAAAGAAAAAATTCTGATTGGATACGAACAGAATATCTATATGTATACATGATGAAGAATGTGAAAGTTGTATGTATATAACACAAAAATATCAAGACTTGAAATACTCTACGGATTGTCACATATTTAGACGATTCAAGAATACTTTGTCAGAAAGGATGTATGAAATTCTTTTAAATAGTCCATGACCAGTTTCATTTCTTCAATGCTAGGGAGAATTGTTATTCTCCAAAACAAAAAAAAAGTATTTCAACTATAGTAATCATAACCTGTACCTGAGCAACATGAATTATGATTAAAAAAATGTGAAAACCAAGGAGGGTAAACATTACTGATTCCTAAAAACATCAGCAAAAATGAGATGTTGATAAAACAATTACATTGTGGTTTGAGATAAGCGAACCTCAAATATATTTCGGATACAGAAACGTGGATTCTACGAGTTCTAAATTTCTAAGACTTTATTAAGTAAAATGTAAAGATCAGTGAGTTTGAACTTGGAACATTTTCGAAAGCCTTTGTAAGTTTTCAACAACTCTATCATTCACTGATTACGAAAGGGCTTATTCTCCATAAAATCACATAATTTATTAGAAAACGAACACATTTTAAATTGGATTCACAATGATAAATAGATGACTAGGTGACTAGGTTATAGGTATTGTAAATTCAACCATGATATCAAACAATTGATGTATATATAGTTTGAAAGTATAAGATTATTGTCTTTTACTTTTCGAGAGGATAAATCTGCTGTTAAACTCGGATTTCAATTTGAAATGGAACTGTTTCCCTTGTATAACCCGACTCGTAAACATTAAAAAAGAAAGAAATATAAGCACCCAGCCCATCTAGAAAAAAAACGGTTTAATGTACTGCAACTATGGTGATTTCCAAAATCACAAATCTACTGTACGACGAAAAGTCAGTTAAGCTAAACCATATCACACAGAAGGACTAGAGGTAACAGTTACAGTCTTTGAGTAGCTTAACAATAACTTTGGATAAGCTATGCCATCCTTTGTCCTATCTTTGGAACACGAAATTTACGGAGGCACTAAAACAATGCACAAGACAACAACTAAATACTTATCATTTTGACTACCGACTTTTCCATCGAACCATCAAAAAGTTGAACTACTTGTCACAATACTTGATTATACCCACTTCTGTATATGGATTTAGATAAAAGTTGGATTGACTGGGACACCTCGGTATCTAGAATTGAGTAAATCTTTCAGTCGTCTGTCCCATTCAGACTGAAATTAAATGACTTGGTAAGACTGTCCTTACATTATGTTTATAACGTCAACCACGCTAAAACATGTTGGTTTATTCTAGTTGTCCAACTCCATGTATTCAAGTTTTAGGAAGTTTCAGAGTGAAGGATGTAAATGAATATTTGCAAATTAGTTTACCTAAAATGCCAAGTTCCTGGTACTTGACCGAATCCAGATCCTGGTACTACACAGACGCCATATTCTTCCAAAAATTCCAAACAGTACATAAAGTCTGGTTGCATACCTTTCGACTGAAAAAAAATTATGTAAGACAACATCGATAAACAACCAGAATTAAATTTCACAAGTTATGTAAAGGTACACTGACCAGCTGGAAAAAAGAGAAAAATTAAGCGATTTTTTATTTGATAAACCGTTCATCATTTCACAAAATCGATTACTCGAAGTTGTAAATAAGATTACTGAAAATCTACTAGTTGAAGTCATTAAAGTAGAAAGATAAATTAAAGGTCTGGAGACTTCATGAAATATTATTAAATTAAATTTGCATTCACATAACATAACGTCATAAACTATAACAGTGATGTATTAAGTCAGTATCTATTAACATATCACAACTTCAAGGATAGAGGTGGAATCTTCGAGATTGTTCAACTCAAAAATGGCTAATAAATTGGCTAAAATCTGTGATTTTTATTAATGTTTCGTGTAACTAGTAACAGATTCATTTTGAGAATAATGAAACTTATCTTGGCTATCTTTGTAATCGAATCACGTTTCTTGTTTCACCGTGATGTTTTGAGTTTTTAGTATTTTTTTTACAAAATTGTCACCTAAACTAAGTTTTTTTATCTGTTATAGTTCTATATTAATATTGGGATAATCGATTGTATTCATTTAATTTTTGAATAAAATATAGTAAGCTGAATGGATTGAAGTTATAATTTACTTTAGGAGCAGCATCATAAAAGCAAGGACTATGCACAAGTACTTATGTTTTCAGTCATGGAATACAAGCATATTAAGCTGTTCGACTGAATGTTCAGAATGTAAACCATAAGAAAACAAATTCATACAGGGATGAGTGGTCTGTATGAAAGATATTGTGTGCATCAAATACTTTGCTAGCGTACGAATATACTAATATTTAATTTCAGGGCGACTTAGCAGTCGAGCATATTATCATGTGGTCCACTCGAAGTCACATTGATGGGCTATTGATACTAATTAATCGTCGAAATTGAAATAGGTGAAATGGAGTTCGAATCAACAACTTAATGGTTAAAGGTTCAATGCTATAATCACTTGACTAAAAATGTAAATATTTCAAACGAGTGATTGATCATCATATAAATAAAATTAAATTACACCTTCAATATTTAGGTTGAAATACCGCAACGTACTTCAGTTCTACCGGAGATAGATCATACTAAATAGTTTATAAACATGTCTACACTATATTATTTAGTAGATAACAAAAAGAAGTGTAAATGTTATGATGTCAACAAAACAGAATGATTCTAAAGTAATCTTTGGTTAATAATAAAAGTATTAGTTAGTATTTAAACTAGGGTAAACTTGATTGGTAGCTTGTATCAGACAGCAAATAATTAAATTTGATAGGATTTATGTTATCTGGTCGCAAGTTACAAGTCAAAACATACAACAGTTGCACTATAGACCATGTAACTCTCCATCATGCACTAAGTGAATACAAAAAAACTTGTGGAATAAGTGTTGTTTAACTGAAAGTGGGTTACTCATATTATATTTTATTTATGAATTAGTAACCTAGTGGATTTTGTTAGTTGAAAAACTTGAGTAAGCGCCCTCCTCAATCACTACCCAACTTAATTTAGTTCGACATATTGTGTAAATCATTTAACAAAGTCTCAGTACAGTTTGGAATCTGTTTACTATAATTAAGAATATTTTTTCTGGCAGCTGCAAATTGTGTGAACCTAAACGTTACATTAAGTACATTACTTTTATTTGTATGTAGCTATTTAGTTTTTAAAGCTCAGTTTCGAGTCTAGCTATAAACTTTGCATGAAGGATTATTTATTACAATAATACGCTTGGAAACTTGCTATAAGGTTCTAACTATTTCCATCTAAGCGTTGTTATAACATACGCTTTAGAAACTCCAATCCTCTCTTTCTTAATGCGGCTCTAATACACTGTATCCAATCAATATGTGATTATGTTCATAATAATATATATGAACCAATTATAATCTTTACACTGAAAAGAATGAGAACATATCAGAGAGGAAAATTTTATTTTCGACACAATTTTCTAGAGATGTACAGTCGTATTTGTAGGTAACTTTTCTACGGGTAGTACCCACGATATAGCGCGACCGTTCACTATTGTCTTCAGTAAGTAACTGCTTCATAACAGACACGGTTGAACTGCACTGGTTGCAGCTTCTCACTAGAACTCTAGGAAATCCATCTTGAAGTTAGTTACTAGTGAGCACATGATAATTGTCAGTACAGGTTTGTGAAGATTGTTGAGTTTTGATTGAGACCAGTGCTTCCAGGTTTTTTTATGGTGATCTAGCTTTAACTGATTCATGAATTTAACTACTAAATTACTTTAAAAAGGGGTGCACCAATGTTCAATTTACTTGAAACTATCAAGTCCAACCTTGGCATTGATACCTAGAAACCGTCTTAGACTAATGAAATAAAAACAATTTTATAGTTGAATTCATGGGTCAATTAAAGCTAGAACACCATGGAAAACCTGCAAGCACTGGACGGCCGTTTCGTCTTATTATGGGACTCCTCAGCAATGCGCATCCACGATCCCACCCCCCGCGAGATTCGAACACTGGACCTATCAGTGTCATGCGCGAGCGCCCAACCTTTAGACCACTGAGCTGACCGGCATCCAACAGTGTTAATGTCTAACTTTAACCAATCCACGAAATTGAGCCACCGTCCACCATTGCTTTCAGTGAGTTACTATCTCACAACAGACCCGGTTGAACTTCAATTGACTCATGAATTCAACTATAAAATTACTAAGATCTCCACAAAACCCTTTCTGATAATAAAAAAATAATGTATGCTTATTAACGAAATAACTCACCTTTGCTATTTCGATCGCTTTTTTAGGTAAATCAATTCGTGGAAATGCATACATTGCTCCAGTGATTGCATTACATGAAAAACCTTGAAGTGAATTTAATGATTTTGTAGTGAGTTCAGCTTTTTGTTTAAGTTCTTTTAGCACTGATGATTTTTCTTTCATAAATGAATTGTAAGATGGCTCATGGGGTTTAGGAGGATTTACAACGACATCCATTGTTAGCTAACAATTATGAAAATAAAAGCAGATATAATAAAATCATTTGACTTAATATTTATTAATTGAGTTTATTGAAGAGGAAAGTAGATATACGTTCACAGATGAATCAGTAATTGAAAAAAACTTTAGATTTACTTTTTGAAGCAAAATATAAATATAAGGTGCGATAGTCAGTGACTAATAATGGAATCTACGATGCGTATTTTGTTCTGTTTGTGACTCGTCATCTAGACGTAATTGTATCCCAAAGTTGATATCTACTTAGGGATTCGAACCTAGTGCCTTTCTCTCCAAACACCATCGCGCAATCCATTTATCTACTGAGTTCAGATAGCCACTGGATTTTCGAATCTCCCTATTGAGGTTGAGGACTGAAATTGATCAGTTTCTTCTGGCATATCTGGACTCACTAGCTAAGTGAATAACTCGATGGCCTTTGAGACAAACGCTACTGAGTTCAAGTTCCGGAATGAACACAAAATCTGGGATAAAGATATTCAAATCACGAGTCCCAATTAAGACGAAACGCACTTCCTAGATTCCATTGCTAGCCACCATCCATCGATGCTTGTGACTCAAAACAATGTCGGAATGATCTGTACAGGATGGACATGACAAAATAGACTAATTGCCGTTCTAAACATCAATAAGAATGTTCAAATAACCAATGTAAATGGATTAGAAATATGAACATATTTCTAAACAAAGTATTCTAATTTCGACCACTTGAAATTATCTTAAAGTTATCACTGGTAAAATTAAATTTTTAGAAATAAAAGTATCAGTTGGCGTATAAAACTGTGGTATATATCATAAACTTTTAAACTAAAGAAAGTTTAACTGAATACAATCTTATAACCTGATGGTTAAAAGGCGAATACTTTAACTATTACATCACCTTTTCATATAGACTTTTAGAAGCTCTAAATTTTACTAATATGAAAACAAATATGTGAATCCGGACAATTACAGTATTCATTCTTTCAATGTAAATCCATATATTGAAAAGGAGTATTACATTTAAAAGAAAATCTTATGAATGTAAAATATGATACAAAGCAACCATATTAACCAAAACAAAAATAAGCTATACTGCCGTCAGAAATTATGACGATACATATACAAGAAACGAAATCCAGTTGATGAAAAGATTTGTTTAGCAGAAAAAAACCTTATTTCTCTTGGTTTATCAAACCGGGGTGACAGCAAAAAAACTATCGATTTGTAATATAGAAAATGGTTTACTCGTTCATCTACTTACCTAAATCTACGCATGTTACATTTTATGAACCCTATACTCCATTTCAATTGTCATTTTGTTATCTTTTAAATACGTATGTAAAATGTTCTTTTGGCATAAGTCACAGACATTATTCTAACTCAAAATTCTATTATAATCAATTTTTGTGATTAGTTTGTCTTCTATTTCTTAAAGATGACCTAGAAGATCTAATCATAATCAGTAAATCCTGTGTTTTACTCATTATTTATTTTACCTTGCTTATTGGATCTAGCTATCAATAGATCCTTATTGTTCTTTTTGGATCACTTAGGATCTAGTGTATTCCGTGAATTTCCTGATAGAAATTGTCAGAATTGAACTACTACATTTGTGACATCATGAACGCATTAAATTTTTTATGGATTTTATCTAGGTAATCTCTCTAGAATCCATCACTTTTGGCCTCAAAACAAAAAAATAACGCAAAGACGAGTTTGTAGGTGTCCTTATCAAGGTTCGACTTGTTAATTTCAAATCAATTGAGCATTGGGTAGATTGTTATTAATAAAAATAATACATTTGTAATATCCCAATGTGTAGAAAATCTAGTTTTTTTAATTTTCTAACGTTTCATGACTCAGTGCAAAACAACATTCTCAGAGAATAAATAAAGTAAATTAACCCAAGTTTAGATAGTACAAAGGAACAAAGCAAGAATATTTGGTGCGGTCAATCAGAAACAGGTCTGATCAGGTCAATGTCATGTCATTCCGGTCAAGGTGATTTATATGGGAGACGTTTGTATATTTGTGTGTGTACGTATGTTAAAGGATGAAAAATGTGACATTTGTGGTGTGAAAGGATAGAGTAGAATTTGCATGTACTATAATGGTGTGAGATGTGGATAAAATCAGACATGGTAGCTCAGGTAGATGGTTCAAGTCGGATGGATAATGAGTCCTTTTCTATTGGAGGCAGTAGGATTAAGCAATATATAGAAAACTTCAACTACTCGCCTTTCTTTGTAGTTGGAATAGCCTTATACTATTTTGGTGTTTTTAATACAGACTTGATGGTTGTTAAGTGTCATGAACTTCTATTGTCGATTTAACTTGGAATCTTTCCAGTTCTACGGTTTCTTCGTGTACGCAAGATGTTCTTTGGCTCGAGTCAAGGTATCACGATCGACATATCCTAATTGGTAGACCCAATTCTGTGTTGACATAAAGGGGATTTTTTCCTATATACGAACTTAATCATTTCGAAGGGTTAGTTGTTTTATAGTATGCTATGGTAAAACTACAGTACTAATCTATGGTGTTTCATTCTGATTATTATATAGCAGCAACATGTCTCGTTTTATTGCACTTTTAATAATCTCTATAGAAAAGTTATTAAATTGTAAGATCTTAATTATGTGCTTTCATTCTTTTTGTTTATCCTCTTCAAATATAATAATCTTGTTTTAAAGAGACTTAAGGTAAGAGAAATTTTCGCATTGAATGGATGTGCTAAATTGAAATCGATAAAAAGATTTGAGTATATTGATTTTCGGTAGATGGTCAGATTTAGAGTTCCACTTGAATTTCGTTTAACTAAGCAATCTAAAAATGATAGCTCACCGTGCTAATTTTCATTCTTGTACACAAATTTAATGTGAGATGAAAGTGAATCTTTTTTTACAACAACAAAAGTATCATCTACATATCTAAGACACGAAACGTCAGAAAATTTTTAAAAAATTGATTTTTTTTAATCACTGGGATATTACAAATAGTTTAAATCATGAGTCAATAGAAGCTAGAACACCATGGGACTTCTCAGCACTGCGCATTCACGATCCCGCCCTCCGCGAGATCCAAACCCAGGACCTATCAGTCTCGCGCGCGAGCGCTTAACCATTAGACCACTCAGCCGGCATCCGACGGTGTTAATGTTTAGCTTAAACCAATCCACGAAATTGCACCACCGGATACCATTGTCTTCAGTGAGCTGATATCTCACAACAGACCTGGTTGAACTCCATCGGTAACGGCTTCTCACTAGAACTCCAGGAAATGCCTCTTGAAGTCAGTCACTACTGAGATGATTATTATTCCCATTCAAACATTCAGTAAAAAAAGATGAATAGAGTAAAGAAATTTCATCCATTTTTTATTATAACTTTATATTAGTAGACATAAATGTGATTTAAAACAATTTCAAAATAGTTATACAAATCAAAGTATTTGTAAAAATTAAACAACTCTTAGATTACATGATCTATAAAAAGACAGTGAACAAAATATATTAGAAAAACTACATACATACCAATAAAAAAATGGGATACTTTCTAGACAAGGGTCGAATTGAATCGATTTTGTGTGATATGGTGTACATGATTTAGATTGTATGACAGAGAATCAATAAAGACAAATGAAATAGTTTATTATATATATATATATATATATATTAAACAATTGATGGATACTGTTGGAACGTTAACATTTAGACCATATTTTTCATAATATAACACAATAGTGAATCAGTGTGCTTTTCATTTAAGTTATGATGATATAATTAATACTGATTACAATAGTTCTTCTATGAAGTCTGATTCAAATTCCATTAATGTCAGAATATTTACATAGGTAAGTAGAAAGGTATTTATTTATTTATTTGAACACAAATTTTGGTACAAAGGGGCACCAAATACATACGCGCCACACAAGTCACTTGATTCATGTGTGGGCTGTGATACTGCTCGGGTGCAACACCGAAGCAGGTGGTTTCCTTAGAGGGTCATTTCTCGAGCCTTTGACCTGAAGGTCTAATACACATGGCAGTGGAGCTACTTAAGGAGATGTAATCCCATATTGTCCAGTTACCAACGATTGGTTCATACGCCATGTGTTCCCTCAGGATGCTAGAGTTCATGTATACCGTTGGTTTGGAATCCAGGTTTTTCAACTACCCTAAGTGGATCCGCCATATCCACTTACCTGGTTAAAGCATTGGATATTCGCTTTTCGCTCTCTCAATTTCGTAAACAACACCACCGCTGCGAGAAGGAAGTGAGTAGAACTTCCCTGGTACTGGCTGTATACGCGTGGTCATGTGAGAGGAAGTGTGGACTCTCCCCACCCTCGGCCGTAACAGGCATTTGGGGGCCAGAAAGTTATTCCAGAAACAGATATATGAAATAATTTAGAATCAACTTGCAAAAACCATTTAGCCAAAGGAAATCAACCGTCATTAAATATATGACTAAGAGAAGCCTATCAGCTGAATACTTTCAACAGCACAATGTCTCAAACTAACTTAAGAACAATGACTACATAAGCATTTATAGTAAAACCTTGATCGACTCAATGTCCTATTTAGTCCGTTTCTTCATTCTGAATATTCAAATAACCATTAACAAAAAAGATGTAGCCATTTACTTATCAAATCTCGATCTCCATTAACAATAGAAGCTGACATATAAAGTCATCCTTATGGATACAGACTATCCAACTTTGTGAAAACTTATAAGGACCAAAATAGATTTTTAAGAGTCCGCAAATTGTTATTGGTTAGGTATTCAGGTTTAGTATTAGAGGCTCTGTTTGATTAGTTCATCAGTAAAATATAACACCACTAGCTTAAGGTTTGTTTCAAAATGAAGGGTCCAGGGTTAGGATTTAGGAGTAGCGTCGATTTTCCTGTTATATACAAAATCGAGCACTTAATGCATTCAACACCACTTTTTTACATTATGATGACAAAAAAATAATTTTTTCTCTATCATTCTAAACGTTTTGAGCAGTATACAGGGATGTTTCTACTGCTCGTTAGACATGACATTGAAATTCGGCGTAAAAATCCGATTGACTTGTCTCTAAAATATAGCACAGCAGCTCATTTTTGAGTTTACAAACGATCTCTCTTTAACGTTGCAATTTATAATAATACGTATCATATATTCTTCATTGATCTATAAGAGATTGATTATCATAGAAGATTTCCCTAAATCACATGAAAATTAGATTTTAGGTATAGACAGAGAGCTTATCTTTCTTTATCTTCAATCGATAAAAACGTCATTAGTGAACAATTAGTATGTTATTTTCATAATGACATTAGGTATATATAACCGAATATAAAGTGGATTTATGAAAACAAAAATAGGTCAAGGATATTTAAACACAAACCGGTCATACTCTAAAACATTGAATAAAGTTAATTTTCTTCTTGAATTTTTGTACTTTTAAATAAAATAACTTACTTGACCCAATAATGAAGAACATAGTCGAGCTGAAAGGGATTTGTACAATTGTTGTTGAACATCTTCAGGAAAATTCACAAGTTCACAATATCCACCACGAAGACCACATCTAAATAGATAGAAATGAAATTATTTTAAAGATACATGATGAATTAATCACTTATGTATTGCTTAACTTGAATGTTTTTGATTGAGATCATGAACCGATTGATGTTAGACCACCATCGAAAACCTGGAAGCATTGGACGACGGTTTCGTTCTATTGTGGGACTCCTCAGGAGTGCGCATCCAAGATCCCGCCCGCGGGATTCGAACCCATGGCCTTCAGTCTCGAGCGCGAACACTTAACCTACTGGACCATTGAGCCGGCATCCAATTTTTACAAAAATATCTTTTGGACTTGTAATTTGGATTACTAGGTGGTCAATTTTGCAAAATAAATACTGTACGAAAATCAAAAATCCCTTACAAAATTATGCAACTATTTATCAATGGGTTCAATAGTTGGTATTTATAAATGTCCAAATAGAAATAGGTGGCAAATAGGTTTAAATCTACCATCTACTGTGAATTTAGTTTGTGATGGTTTGGATTACCTCGTTTTTGATATTATGACTGAAATTTGATCAGTCTTAGTTGGCATAAGTACATCTTGTGCGGATTGGTTCGATAGAGCCATTACGACGCAAGTTTACACATAATAGATGTAATGTGGCTAGCAGTAGAATCCAAACCATTACAAATAAATTCACTTGGTAGTATTTGCTTGTATCTTCCCATTGTTGTTAAGGACTCGTCAGCCTAAATTAAATTAAAATTCACACGCCATGTTCTAGTGAATGGCTGTTTGGACTCAATAGCTAAATGAACAACACGTTTTAGGCAAAAAGCATTGGATTTGAGTCCTACAGTGCCCATTACCTCTGGGATGCAGAAACATGCGCCTAACGAGTCACAAATAAGACGAAATACACATCCTGGATTCCATTACTTCTTTTGATTGACATGTTAGTCAATTTGAAAAATTATTTTTTTATTCGTGAGTCTCGATGATTTGCAGCGTCGAACGATTATCCAAAAAATAAGCCACTAAAATTTAATTATTGTGGTGTATAGTGTAAGTGAATGATGTGTTTATTTGATTTCTTAGATACCTTATTTCGAAATGTAAGCTTAATAGCAGAGCTTTTTATCTAGTGGTTATTTTTACAAACATCTTTTTTGTTAAGAATGTTTTAAACTAAGTCTACGCTTTTTTCCCACATTTTAGAAGTTATGTTATTGGTTGTAAACCTGTCTTATGAGCGTTACCTAATTACTGTATATCAATACTCTATTTTATAGGTGAAAAGCAACCAGATGAACTGTAAAATGTACTACTTATGGTCATTTAAATGTAAAACTGGGAGATATTGGAAATTAATGAAAAATTGACCATCAAAAACAACTCAAATCCTAAGGCATTGGAAAAACGCATAAAAGGGGTAATTGAGCTGCAGCTAGTCTGTGTGCAAATAACCTCTATTTCTGTGTTAATACAGTAAATGAATAGTACTCAAAAACACTAAATAAACCAAAAAGAATATAGTGGGGTTCCAAATATCGACAATAAAGAACAGAATGTAAGGAGAAAAAATAAATACAAATTTCACAAAAATGAAAATCAATATTGTTATGTAGGAATCAATTCTTGTACGAAACAGAATTCTATAGCCTGAAAGTTGATTTCATTTCAATGACATATTCGGATTTCATAATTTCTAAATAATATACAGAAATAAGTATTTTATGTAAAGATCAAACTTGTCCAATGATTTTAGATGGTCAATATAATAAACAAGCATATAAAATTGTTTTATAACGCCTATTTCAAATAGAATGTTAAGACTAGAGAACAAAATAAGTTTATTCAATCCATGTGTATTGTTCAACTATGACTAAATAGTATGTTACAGTCATGTTTATTGAACTATTTGATAATAAACATTTACGAGAAAAAATGAAGGGGGAATAGGTATTTGTAAAAGTAAATATAGTTCCTTATAATATGTAAACTAATAGGCAGGCTGATATTACTAATAATTACAGCTGATATTTGTACAGAAAAGTTTCCGTCACTGATTGATAATATAATACGATAAACTGTAACACATTTTTGTATGTCACAAATTAATTATGTATCTTGCTAGATATTATTCGTTTTCAAAACATTAGAGAATTCCTTATTACAAGTTATAAACAAAGACAACATTGTCTGTTTACTTTTTGTTTCAGTAACTCCTGGGCTGTAATGTGATTAAATATTTTATAATCTTTTACTGAAATAAGACAAATTCCTAAACATAGGCTTCAATATTTATCAGTGTATGTGAAATTTAATAACAGATAATGAGTGAAAAGATTTAATTGATTGTATTACCAAAATAGATGACAACATAAATAATCGTGGTGAGACTATTATTTATAGACGAACTTTGAGCGACGTTACGGTAACCTTGAGAAAGTTCACCTACTTACTAGGGTCAAGAGACGGTTATAAATTAGTGTGTAATTAGAATTAGGAATAATAGTTAGGGATTTCAGAATCAATTGACACTAACCATAATGCTAAAATGATATTTAACCATATGGATGGATGAATTTCGCGCCAGAAACTAAAAATCGCTATCTTTACTTTCATTGGTTAGTTCATACATTATAGTCTCACCACAATCTCATATGACGTATATTAAACAGATTGTTTTTAACCGTCAGTGTAATTTTATATCAAATCATTGAATTTCGTGCCCTCATTAAAAATTGGTTAGTGGAAACTAGATATCGGTTAAGAAAACCTGACTAGTGCACATATCCCAAGATGTGAACTGAAGCTTAAATATATAAGCGCTTATATCTCCAACTTCAAGGCATAGTGATACATGTTCAAGTTAAGGAGCAAGATCGATTGTGGATTGTACAGACACTCTACTCCAAACATGACTTTTTCACTAGTTTTTGTACATCTATTGACCGTGGTCAAGCGCAAATACTTCATTCTGTCTTTATTGTTTTCTTGAACTGTAAAAGGAGAAGTTACTGATATACATACCAGCTTACTATTTTATAGAACCTTCATTGATAATAAACTACAAATCAATAATATGTAATAATTTCAAATGATAAATCAGTCCAATTATTCATAAACAACATAAGACCATCCTATCATCACATCATAATACAACGAGACAAAATATACAAAAATTTATAGCTGATTTATGGGTACAAGTGGTAGTGAAAAAGTTAACAAACTAGGCACAGAATATGTGGTTCAAAGAAAAATACACTACTCGATTTAGCCAATTCAGTTGACAACTCATCATATTTTCGGGCAAAAATATTTCGATTGATAAACGTTAAAAATACATATAGGTCTAGGTGTGAAACTAGTCTGGCTTTTACAGGTTAGCTGTTTCTTAGTCACATCTAAGCTGTGGATAATTATATAAGCTAATAATTTAGAAATTATATTAGTTAGACTGATTACTTAGTGCTTGTCATAAGAGGATTTTCATACTATATTTTATAAACTGGGGTAACTATAGATTGAAACTAGTCAGTTGGAATAACGTATAGTTTCAAATGACAATAATACACAATAAAACTGATAATATTTTACTAAGTAATATTGATACACAAAGGAAACTATCAGATAACTAATTAATTTGTATTTATTATTGTGATGATTAAAAGATATTTGATGTTGACTGACAAGTTCTGGAGTGGTTGTCGAGGGGATAACTGAGGGCAACATTCCTAGTCTCTTACTCTAGAGACTGCAATTATGTATAGATATATACTTTCTTTCAGATAGTAACTGAGACTTATGAGGTCATTGGTTAACAGAAACACACGGATCTTACTATTTTCATCGTGAATATCTTAATGCATATCACATCAAATATGAGATTATTGCGTTATAGCTGTTAGTTCAGGATCTATATATAATAGTTATTAAACGATAATTAAGGATATAGTAGTCAATTAACATCCAATGAAACTAAATGATGTAAAACTTTGGTCATAATTAATTACATATACTCTAAAAACAACTTACTCTCCCATATAACCTTTACTACATGACATAAATGATGCTAACTGTAACTCATTGGAAATGCTTCCGCCAATATCATATAGAGCGCGTTTAAACGAGATAAATCCTGTATCTGGTGCATAAATATTATGTTGATAAACTTCATCGGCTAATACAACTAAATTATGTTTGTAAGCGAATTTTAAAACGTTTGTAATTGTGTCTTTTGATAGTAATTGACCTGTTGGATTGCCAGGATTGATTACTACTAAAGCACGTGGGATACATTTATCATTGCATTTTTTTAAAGCTTCTTCCAATTGTTCAATACTTAGGTCCCATCCATTCGATTCATCCAAATAGTAATCGATCTTAATGAGAAAAATAAACAGATTTTAAAACGATTTGATTAGAGTATGTGAATTTTTGTAAATATATGGCAGTGCATTGAAGCTGTAATTTGAAGTTTTACTATTCTCATAGTAATTCGACTTTGGTTTTTACGACAAACGTCAAAGAGCAAACATGAAGCTCGTTATTTATTACGACCAAGACTCGTATGGACAAGTCTCTGTCATATTGAAAACATGTTTAAAAAATATAATCAGTATCCATTTAAATAGTCAGTAAATCCAACTAAGAATTTCTAGAGAAGTTATACTTACGTATTGCTGTCTTTCTGATGATAAACTCGACAGACTTATATTTTAATAAAGTGCGGCTGCGTTTAGGTTAATGACATATATTCAACTGAAAAGACCATGAGTTCATATCTGGATCTGACCAAAGTACTAATTGATCTAGTATGGACTAATAAGAACAGTGTATACATGGATCAGTGAGTCATAGAACATAATCTACTTTTTCTCCGGTCAAAAAATTCACACAGATTGATTGTCGCTTACTTGGAGAACTAATATCAAAAAGATTTATTGTAGATTATATGAAATATATTATCTGATCAAAAAGTAAGAATCCATTTTTGTACTCCAAGAAACGCGTACCCCACATTTCACTGCTAGCTACCACCCATCTCTGCTTAGAAAGTAAGAATCATTTTTGAAGTTTTATTCTCTGAGTCGGATGGTGGAAATCAATTTGAGGGGACTGAAGAAGGAAACGTCACAAAATTGTTAATGTTATGTTATGGTAACAGTAACTTAGCAAAACCCTTTTTTATTAACAAGTCAGTTATACGTAACGTAGAATGTGTTACATGTGCGCATCGATTCAGGTTATCATACCATAATAGCACAGCAAGATGCAATTTTTGTAGTAAATTCCAGAGTAGCAAAGATAGTAACACTATTAGTGGTAATAGAAAAGATTAGACATAGAAGATGGAATTCGAGATGAAAATATGGATAAGTGGAATGAAAAAAGGTTTAGAGTAATTTTTACTTAGCTCCTATTACAGTGCAAGCTATCCCGTCATCGCGTTTTAAACTTAGTGGAAATATCCAGGAGCCGTTATCTCAAATGTAGTTGGTTTGTCAAAAAATGATAGTTCTACCTATCTGTACAGACATATATGAAATATTTAATCTGAATGATAGAGTATATAACTATGTCATCAATGTTACTATGACTACGTTTACATGGTTTGCTGAGCATGCACTGATGGGTGGAGAAAAATATGATTCAGGTATACTACAATATCAAAGATGAATGTCAATAGTGGTCAATTAACTGTAAGAATAAAACCCCTCATTTTCAAAAAAACTGTAATTGATATACGGATCGAAGTTTATTGATTATAAAAATGAGATAAAGTCAAGGTACATAGATTTGTTTTATTACTGTATTCAGTTTGCTCCTCAATGCTTTTGTTACGGATCATTTGGATATATGGGTCAGCTTATGCCACATATGCTCATGTGAATAGTTAGTTATGTACAAGAATTAGTTGCTCACTAACAACAATGATAGAACACTCTTATTGGTCGACCGAGTTAGGGTAAAAAAACTATTTAAGAACAATAGCATAGTTGAAAAACTGTCATCAAGATATATTTAAGGGGATTACAGCATATCATGCTTTGGAAGCTGAACTTTCTCTGAAAAGTAATATTATTTAGGAAACTATCATGATACGTTATAATAAATATGGATTACAGCCTCAAAATTACAGTTTGTCGATATAAATGTTGTTAACGGTGAAAATATATATTAATCGATCCGTTTACCTGATAGGCGTTATATTCAGCATTTGTTGCTGAATAAAGAGGATATTGAGGTATGGGGACCATAATACCAGAACGTTTGGATCCATCTTCTCCAGTGGATATCAACTGAAGAATTGACTAAAGGAAATATAAAGATTATATATATATTACTGGATTTTTAAGTCAGATGAGAAATAAAGTGACGGACAAATGAGAAACCTTTTTGAAAAAACTGAACTGTTAAAAATTCATATTGTTTTTTAAACTTTCTATCGTTCCTAATCATGACTTATGACCATATGACGGTACAGAAAACATTTACAGCACTGTATATATGAACAATAGAATTATATTATCTTCATATTGCATATAGATCGTATGATATTCACGTGAGAGAAGATAGGAGCGAAATTTGTTGGACTTTCTTTAATCTTAAAAAGAGCGAAATAAATCGGTTGTAACATTAAGCAACGAATTAAAATGTATTGAAGAATTTACAAATTATTGAGCCTATCAGTTTCCAGATGTTTGTAGTGAGATTTTAATTTAAGTCAGTCTTCAGTAATAAGGATAGTAGGTTAGTGAACCTGTGTTAATCCTAACAGGTTGGCTTCCAGTGAAGGTCCAGTTTCTCTTTGAAAATATTCACTGATGGGGCTGATACCACTTGATCGGGCAAAGCGTTCCAATCATTGACTACTCGATGAGAAAAACGGAACCCCACCTTGAGTTTATTAGATCGTGGTTTGTGAACCTTCTTGCTATGACCTCGGAGATTATTAGTGCTGGAGGGAGCAAAAAGATAAGACATATTAACACCCAAATCATAATTAAAGATACGAAATGCCAGTATAAGGTCACCTCGAGTCCTACGATACGACAAGGGGAAAAGGTTTAAGCGTTTTAAACGCTCATCGTAAGGGAGTTTAGAAAGACCCTTCACTAATTTCGTTCCCACACGCTGGACACGCTCAAGTGAGGTAGTATCCTTTATCAGACATGGGCTAGCTGCTTGAATACAGTACTCTAAATGTGGTCTTACATAGGTGGGATATAAAATTCGAAACATTTCCTCGTCAAAGGATTTGAACGCTCGGCGAAGTGACCACAACGCACGAAAACCTTTGACAGCGGCTGCGTTGCAGTGCGCAGTTGTTTTTAAATCATGACTTATTATTACTCCTAAGTCTTTATGTTCTTGAACGCATGGAAGAGGTTTGCCATCAATAGTATAATGGTAATTATTGCCGTGACCGATGTGCATTAGCACACTCTTCCTAGAATTGATTTCTAAACCCCAATCTCGAGCCCATCTAACTAAATCGTCTAAGTCAGATTGAAGATCCAGATGATCAGCCTCACCTCTTAGTGCTCTCCATATTTTGACATCATCCGCAAATAATAATGTCGACGACCTAAGCAACAGCGGTAATTCATTTACGTAGAGAAGGAATAGCAGAGGGCCTAATATGGTGCCTTGGGGTACACCACTTTTGACCGGCTTCCAATCGGATAGCGTCCCATTGACCCTCACTCTCTGTCTGCGGTCACGTAAGAAGTTTCCTATCCACTCCTGTACAGTACCTATTATTCCGAAGCTTGTGAGCTTCTGCATAAGACCTGAGTGTGAAACCTTGTCAAATGCTTTGCTAAAATCTATGAATATAACATCGACAGACAGACCTTTATCTAAGGCTGCTGTCCAATCCTCTCTCGCAATAAGTAAATTAGTCAAGCATGAACGCCTATCACGAAATCCATGTTGCTCAGGAGCTAACAGATTGTATGAATCTATGTGGCTTAGCAACCTAACCCGAATTATCTTTTCAAGTAACTTAACGACAATGCTAGTCAGACTGACAGGTCGGTAGTTAGATACGATGTGTCTCTGACCATCCTTAAATATAGGACTGACAATAGCATCTTTCCAATCCCTAGGTAGTTGAGCGAGTGAAAGGGACATGTTAAAGAGTGTCGCGAGCGGTTTTGAAATAATGTCTGCAAGAGATGACAGCAATCGTGGATGTAACCCGTCAGAACCCGGTATCTTACAAGGTTTGAGGTTAATTATCAACGAAAGGACAGTTTCTTCAGTCACCTGTATGGATTCCATGGCTGGTATCGCGGCGTAACTGGGACAAGTATTTGTTACAATAAACGTAGAGTAGACTTCGCTAAAGTAGTTTGAAAATGTCTCAGCTTTTGCTCGATCTGATTCAGCTAGTAAACCTGAATTATCGTGTAACAATAATGGGGGAATACTATCACTACGTTTTATTTGCCGTTTAACATACGAAAACAATCGTTTTGGACAAGTACGGCTATCGTATACCAACTGTCGTTCGTAAGTAATACGGGATTTAGCTATAGTTTTCTTACAAATATTCCGGAGTTTTTGGTACTCACGCTTAAAAGATGCATGACCTGTCAACAAGAATAAGTCCCAGAAGTGTTTCCTACGCTTTAACAGCTTACGGGTTTCCTTATTAATCCATGGAGGGCAGTGCGATAGCTTACGTACTGACCATGGGATAAACGGCGACGTTACGGACTCGAATGTAGCCTTAAACTTAATCCATTCGTCTTCGATCGATCCATCTGCATCAACCGACCAATCAGTAGAGATCGCACAGTCTCTGATTGCCGGAATATTAGCCCGCCAGATATCGGGACGGGGTGGAGCAGATACAAATCGTATACCATGTGTCCTAAACTTAAAGTGAAGTACAACGTGATCACTGTTCACTAGTGGAGGAAGGTGCTGAATATCAAAGACGTCCTCACAGTGGTGGGTGAGGGCGAGGTCCAGCAGTGACGGATCACGTTTCAGATCAATATGTGTCGGTTCAGTGATACATTGGACAAGTGCACACTGAATAACTGTTGATAAAAGTTCGCTATCAAAACCTCCACCTGGAGCTGTAAGCTCTATCCAGTTTATGTTCGGAGCGTTGAAGTCCCCAATGATGAGGCAACATTCTGCCATACTCCAAGAACAGATGTGTCTTAAGATAAAGTCGTCAGCAAGACAACACGGACTACGGTATATTCCGCCTATAGTCACTAACCCATTTCTAGATTTAATCTTACAACATGCTACCTCACATGTACCACTAACATGAGCCTCCGATATGATTGATTGTATACGAAAGTGGTCCTTAATGTATAACATTATGCCTCCCCCCTTGCGGCTTAAAACTCTATCACTTCTAATACAGATATAGCCTGCAATGATGGGAGAACATTCTATATCTACGGTGAACCAAGTTTCTGTAATGACAATTATATCGGGACTTAATTCATCCACCATCAGACTTAGCTCGGACGTTTTATTCCTAAGACTACGGGCGTTCGTGTAGCACACACTTAAGGTGTTATGGTAATCGTTCGTTCTACCCATACAGGCCTCGGAAGCATTGGCTTCCAAGACCTGACTACCCGAAAACCCTTAATGGTAAGGTTGGTTTCGCCATTTAACTTGCGAGTTCTTAACTCCGTAAGTATCGGTATAAGACAGATTCAATAGACAGTATTAATGTTTAATGAATCATTCCACTCTCATACATTATGTGAATAACAGTAAGTTTATAACCTTCCTAAATTATTGTGTTAAGCAATAAAATATTTTAAACTAGCTTCAATTATGGATTTATCAGATAAGTCACCAATGATTAAATCATCATTAAAGAGAAAAAATGTATTTGTAAAATCTCAGCGAAAGAATTTGAAGTAAATTCAACGTTTCGCCTGACAATCTGGTCCAAGCTTTTTCAAGGAAAATATAATCAAACAACAAAATTATCGATAATTTTGTTGTTTGATTATATTTTCCTTGAAAAAGCTTGGACCAGATTGCCAGGCGAAACGTTGGATTTACTTAAAATTCATTCGCTGAGATTTTACAAATACATTTTTTCTCTTTAATGTCTCACATTAACTCGGCGCCCAAATATTGTGAAACTATTCGTTCAAATTTAGACGAAAGTTCTTATTGATTAAATCATCAGTTGATGAAGGGCACATGAAGCCTCTGGTAGTAATCATTACACACAACACCACAAGAATTTTCAAAAGAGGAACACAAAAATAAAAAGAGAATTAAGTGAAGAAAATTTTCTTTTCGACGAAATCACCTACTTAAGCTGTATATTCGTACATATAATTATGTGGAAAATATATGTTTATAGTAGGATAAAAAAGATTGCATCACAAAAATGGACTCGAGAATAAATAACAAATGAGGTTATGTACTAATCAATGGGTAAGAAAGAACATAATTTATGGGTCAGATAATAGTCCAATTGATAGATATGAACAAAAGCGACAGACACAAAGGTCATAATAATAACTAATTAGAGTTTAAAATGCAAAACAGTAATTCAAAAGATTCAATAATAATCAAATAAAAGTGCAGAAAAAGAAGAGAAAAACCCAGGATGAGAAGATGGACAAATCGTTTCTGCACGCCAAATCAGGCTTTAGTTCATGGATTGCCAATGCCTCAGCAGTGCATAAAATATTGATTCGACCCCCCCTTCGATCCAGTTCCTTTGACTCCGTAGATCACTTTAAAAGAAGTCCTTTGAAGCGATGTGTCCACAGTTAACTAAATGCTCCTGTATCTAACTAGTAATTGTTTTACATTCTCCTTTTAAGAGCCAAGCCGGATAGTGTCTCGAGATGCGTTTGAAAAGTGATCGCTTCATGCGGCCTATGTAACGTGCCCCACATGAGCAAGTAAATTTATAGATACACATTGATGTGGTTTAAAGCGGTCGGCTAGAGAAAACAATTCGGAGCTTAGCTGTGTAGAATGTTTTATTTAACGATTTTGAAATCCGTTTATTTAAGATTTCAGCAGCCGTGCTTAATCTAAATTCCGTGTTTATAAACAGAGTTTTCTACTGTACTGTCGATGCTTTTTCCTGATGAAGTTTAGGTGTTAAGTTGCTATCGACGAATCTAGGTGGATAACCATTTCTGATGAGAGTTTGTCGAAGATGAAATACTTCCTCATCTATTGTGTCGTTGCAACAGATTCGCTTGATCTTTGAATATTTTCAATAATTGTCACATGCCAATTTAATTTACTTTAGAAACAGAGGCAAACAATGAATCTCATTTTCTTGGTGTTCCTTTGAAAAGAATGCCTGATGGTTTTTTACAGAGATCTATTTATAGAAAACCTACCTGGAATGTACAACACACGAATTTTCATAGTTTTCGGTCCCATTGAGTAGAAAGAGGAACTTAATTCACTCTTTATCCTCTAGGATCAAGCGAATCTGTTTCTATAAACCAGAAGAACCTGATATTTCCGAAAGTGATGACTTATAATAGAAACAGAACCACGCAAGGTGAACTCATAATGGAAGACCAGGTCAATCAGACATATATTCAAGATAAAATGATGAATGAGAGATGATGATGGGTGCATGTTATTGATTAAGATTCAGGTTAATTATCGGAGAGAGACAGATACATATACTTCAATGGTTGAAAATCTGGCCCAGTTTTATGAGGGATACTGCATCTGATGGTACCATAGTCTGTCACAAAGCATGACAGGAACTTGTTCGACCAAATGTCTACCAAACAACAACCATGTAAAGAATATTTTAGTATGCCAATTTAAAATTGTCTGAATTATCCAATGTATTATTAAATTTTATGACCGATTCGCTAAATTGAAATACTGTGTCAACGATGAATCTTTCGACATATTGGGTCTTGGTTGGATCATAAAAGTAAAGTTGTTTGGTCAACCAACTAACTTTATTTGCAATTAGATATTTCCACTCGATGGTGGTATCGTAAACGCTCATTCAACTTTCAACATCCATTCTCAGAGTGTAGGCGTGAAAATTAGGTGTGGAGCGCTTCAAGATGTCGGCCCCTAAGATCAAAAATTTCTTGGGTATTGCATACTGCTCAGGAGGGTTAGGTGACTTAACCTCTGTAACCGAATTCAAACAGCCAGACTTATTCTTCAGGAAGAAACGACAAGATAGGCCAATCAGACGCAGACGTTATCGAAGTTAACTCAATTTGTGATGAGTTTTATCGAGTAAAAATGAGTGATAATCTTTTCAAATTTACTCGTAAGCTAATTTGAACTAGTGAAAAAAATAAAGTTAACAACTTTTGGTTTTTTTATTTAGTCTAATGATGTGCAATCTTCTTACATACGACATGTGACTGGACTTCGCAACTCAATAGTGAGTATAAGATCATTGTTTACTCGAGAAGTTTGGTCAATGTCAGTTGGATTTGAAGATAATTTGAGTTTGTCATGTACACGTAGAAAACTTTAACCCAAGTACGACCTGATAATAATTTAAGACTATATAACCTATCATAATCCCGAATACCCTGTCTCCTTATTTATTTATTTGAACACAAATTTTGGTACAAAGGGGCACCAAATACATACGCGCCACACAAGTCACTTGATTCATGTGTGGGCTGTGATACTGCTCGGGTGCAACACCGAAGCAGGTGGTTTCCTTAGAGGGCCATTTCTCGAGCCTTTGACCTGAAGGTCTAATACACATGGCAGTGGAGCTATTTAAGGAGATGTAATCCCATATTGTCCAGTTACCAACGATTGGTTCATACGCCATGTGTTCCCTCAGGATGCTAGAGTTCATGTATACCGTTGGTTTGGAATCCAGGTTTTTCAACTACCCTAAGTGGATCCGCTATATCCACTTACCTGGTTAAAGCATTGGATATTCGCTTTTCGCTCTCTCAATTTCGTAAACAACACCACCGCTGCGAGAAGGAAGTGAGTAGAACTTCCCTGTTACTGGCTGTATACGCGTAGTCATGTGAGAGCATTTCGTGAGGAAGAGTGGACTCTCCCCACCCTCGGCTGTACCATGGCATTTGGGGTACACATAGCATACAATAACTTGACAAACAACACAACGATTTTTTGCTTCCCCTCATGAAGTAAAACAACCAGCGATTAACACCAGTCAGACGGAAGCACGTTCCAATACAAATTTCTAACTAATACTCGTCAGTTTAATTAGTGATGACGCTTAAAAGCTGAAATTATGATGTCAGTGTTTTCTGTTATTGATTATCTCTAAGACAGTTAAACTTTCCAGCTTGGATGAGACTGAAAGGCTAGATATAATTACTCAAATAAGGTAACTGGTGTGTAGCTGAATGCCAGTTAACTCGTTCGTACAAAGTGTCCTTTGCGCTGCGTGAGTAGCCTGTTTTATAGTGGACCACTGGGAAAGTTTCGTTATGTACAGTTTTACTGATTACTGATATCTGAAGCTTAGTCCTGTACAGCTAACACAGTTGTTCGCTGTAAAACAACATGGCTATCTTTTCTATCTCTTGAAGTTTGGTCTTTATCATGAATCTTACTGGACGTAAACTTCCAGCTGTGATGAAAATTTCGAATTCATGACTTGTAAGTTCCTGATGAACGGAAGCCGATAATCGATGCTTGATCTACAGACCCTAAAACACTTAAAGTAGAGCTTCCTCTAATGGTAATTAAAGACAGTTTCAACAAATTGATTACTGTATATTATAAGTACCTAAACTAGTTACTGCTTACAAACGTTCCGCTCCCACGACCAAGAAAATCATAAGAATTTTCTTTCAGACGATTTGAGTATACAAAATCGTCTTGATCAAATACGCTTCAAGAACCCATGTGAATTCGGTCGTACCCCTATTATTATTTTTGAAATAAGTGAGTCAACTTCGGACAATAAAGAATCTACCTCCAACATAGATTCAGATATACGTTTAGCGAACTTACAACAAAAACCCAGAAAGGAAGACGAAAGTCCTGACTTTATTTTAATCTTTGGATATCTTATTTATCATAATCGATGAATACTTTGAACATTTTCACCTTCTTTATCAATATTTAATAAAGCCAAGCCATATATCAGTCAGTAACAACGTGGAACTTCGTACGTACGTACATCAGTTCAATTTGCCATACCACATTAACACAGACATGCAGTTGTCGATCCAAATCCCGTAGTGGTAGAGGTAGTGAAAGTATAAGTAGTGATAGAGAACATTAGGGTTTGAAGATGTTATTCAAGGACTATAATCCGATGAAATAAATTTGGAAAGAGAAAAAAAGGACATAAAGAATTCAGAAGATTAGAGTTTGGGAGAACACAAAGAGTGGATGCACCTGCGCCATTGCAAACGATTTTTAGCCATATTATTCAAGGTCTCTAACCATCGGTTGCTATCGTCTCGCGGTCCCCAACTAGGTAGTCTACACCTACCAACATGGTTCAGTCCACTTGTCAGTGACTTCATGGATTTGTGCCATGTTTTGGTCTGGCCGCCCCTAGCTTTCTTCCAACCTACTCCTACACCATAAAACATCGTACATTGGGGCAGTCGGTGGTCAGGCATGCGTAACACATGTCCCAGCCATCTCAACTGGTGAAGTTTCACTACTTTATCAATTGATTTGCCATCCTTACCTAGTACCCGTTTCCTAACAACTGAGTTACTTACTCGGTGGTCCCAGGATATACGAGCAATGTTTCGAAGACATCTATGGTCGAATACTAGTAGCCTACGAATATCCTCTACTCTTACCGGCCATGTTTCACTGCCATAAAGTAGGACGGAACGAACTGCTGCGCAGTAAACACATCCTTTGGTTGATAGACGGATATCTCGCCTACGCCACAAATGACGCAAGTTGGCAAAAGCTAGTCGAGCCTTCTGTATCCGTGATGAGATATCGTCACACACCAGACCACAAGGGCTGATGAGACTTCCAAGATAAATGAAGCGGTCGACACGCTCAACTACTTCGCTTCGTATCACTAGTTTGGGTGTCGATGTAACCCAATCCTAAAGCAACATTTTGCATTTTGAGGGAGAGAATCGCATCCCGAACATACCTGCATTGTTGCTTAGAATGGTCAGCAGACTCTGCATTTTTTCAGCGTCTTCACCAAATAGAACTATGTCATCGGCATATTCTGAGTCAATAAGTGAATCTCCCGGTAGAAGTTCAACCAGTTGAACTGATACTTAAAGTGTTCTGCCCATCGATCCAATCTCCTGGATTGAGAATGAATAATATGTCTATCTTTCTCTGAGATTGTTTCGCTAACAGTTGTGTTCCTAATACCGGTTTCCTTAACAAGTCTGAACAGTTGCCTGCTGTTACCTATTGCCGCTGCCTTTTCCATCTCTCTTGCTTTCGCTACCCACCACTGTTCATGATCATTGCGTAAGCTTCTAGTCAGCTTACGCTTAAGCTGACTCCGCTCTTCGTTATGTTCAGAGCCAGATGGAATGAGTTTACGAGCATCTATCAGTGCGGTACATGCTGCTGAGATCCAGTGTTTCTCCCTAACCTTATGGTTTACCGTACTTGCAGACATCACTGCTGTTTCTACAGCTTTTCGGATGTCATTCCATGCTGCCTCGGGGTGGGCATCACTTACATGGCTGCGTAACTGTTTTTCTAGTTGTTCCTGAAATATACTCTTAGCTTGACCATCATTAAGCAGGACCCTAAGGGGTTTCCTTGTACCATCTTCCCTACGTCCAGTAAGACGTAGACAAATAAGCGCACGCACCAGAGCGTGATCTGAGTCTAAGCATGTGCTCCAGAATGAGCGACAGTCTTCTGTCGAGCCCCTCCATCGGTGGATGATAGCGATGTGATCTATTTGGGTCCAATGTTTGGACGAGTTAGGGGGTCGCCATGTCAAAAGATGTTTTTCCTTATGCTTAAAGTTAGTGTTTGCAAGGAACAGGCGGTTATCTGAGCACAGCTGCAACAGACGATCGCCTTTATCTGTTCTTTGAGCCGCGACACCATAAGATCCTGTCTTCACGTACTGGTTTGTCCGTGATTCACCGAGTAGGTTTCGGACAAGCCTGAGAAATTCTAGTTTATCAAATACAAGTAAACTGTTCCCTTAAAGCTACAAACCGTATGTTGGGTTTTCCTTGTTCGAATAAAAGTTTCAATTTCAGAGAGCGAACTATATTGTAATAAGTTTACAGCTATCCCAACCGCACAACTCAATGATTTCATTAAGTGGAAATACGAATTCCTATGCACATGAATACCAAACCGGTAATTAACAAACAATAAAAGTAATCATACTTACCTTAACAGCTTCACTTGCCCCATTGGATAAGAAAATATTTTGGGGGTTAGCTGATAACTGATCCCGTTGTTTTATGTATTGTGCAACATCCTCGCGGACAACTTCTACGCCTGTAGACTGGCTGTAGACTCCTACGATATGAAAAATTAATTATACTTCCATAGGTAATAAAGTTGTTGAGCATCTGTTAGTCTACACTTTGTTAACAGCATATCATAAAGCTTAGCGGTATTTTAATTTTAACTGACAAACATCCACAACAGTATTATTTTGGTCTAAAACTGAAACCATAATATTTTCAACTTCAAAGGTGAACGATAAGTAAATTAAAGGTCCAGAGGAATCTTCATGGATGGGATCATGACAACAATTCTGATTCAGGTCAAGGAAAACTACCAAACTCTAACTGCATAAGTTAAGTGCACCAATAAGACGGTGAATTCCAGTTAGTTGAAACCAATGGAGTCCGAGACTGACTGAAGTAGGAACATAATCTGACTTTAAGACGATCTTCAAGTTTGAAGATATCGATTAACTTGCTAGGATATTGATGTGAAATACAGTAGTTAGCATTTCCTTGTATGACCAACCACTTGATAAACCTTAAACTGAAATCCTTCTTAAAAATTATCCACTGGGTCCCTATTATTTATGAATGTATTGTCGCCCCAGGTCAAATATTTTTACTTACCCATGTCATTTAGTTATTTTCGAAATCTCTTGTGATTAACTTCATCTGTTGTCTCAAAAAGTAAAAACTCGAACTAGTTGAATATTGCATGAAGGGGTGTTACTTTGCTTGTTGATGAATACTTATAGAATTCCAATCCAAGTAAAAATTACAATGAAATCACCGAAAGGAACTGTTGTAATGGTAAACAATCCACAAAAAGCAGTTTAAAAATAGTAAGTATTCATAATATTTCACAATATGCCTGTCCATAAAATAGATAATCAACTTGGCAATCAACCTCGTTTACCTTTGTGAGTAACCGATCGTAGTATTTCCCTGATATTTTCCCCTTACTTGCCAGTTATCCATTGGTTTGACGCAAATTATCTGTGCATAATGTCTAGGAAAACTTGACATCACTGTCGTTCGATACTGACGTGTCTCTCACTTCCACTAGGATAGGTCTAATCATTAACTTTAGTGTCTTGAATTATTAAAGACATATTATCAGACATATAAGTTTAATGAAAATGAATGGCGTTACTAACTCAGTATATCTAGCGTTATAACAAAAAATTTAAATGAAGTCACATAATGATGCTGAATGCAAAGCATAAATCAAAGCTTTGTAGAAAGATCCACTCTATTTGAATGAAAATGAAGTCTCTTAACATCCCAGTTGATTAAAATTAGGACCAGTAACAGTTGGGATGTTTTTATTAATATACACGAAGTTGAAGGACTAAATTAAATTCCAAGTAACTCCCAGACGTTATTTATGAAGCAAGGGGGATGAGAACCGTTAGACTAATAACCAACAGCATTCAATTAAGCATTTTAAACGAGTGAGATAACGTTAATATGTCGTCATGTAAGATCACACTTGAAATAATTGACATCGTTTAGCCGAAAAATCATAAATTTATCCAAATGACTTACCAACACTTCCACCACAACTGTCCAGAAATCTCCTGACTCTTAATTTAGCATCGTCTTGAACTAAGTTGGTATCCATAATATGTGTATTTGTCGCGGCACACAAAACTTCACGAATAAATGAAATGGGCTTTTGACCAGACGCATGACAGTCGCCAATATTGCAACGGATAATTCTGTTGAATCTTTTTTTTGAACCCTGATTATGATTAATAGCTAAAATGATCTAACTTGGGATATTTCTCTCTCTAATTCTAACGCTCTGAGTACTATTGGTCCACGGACAGCATACTGAAGCTTCACAACATGGGGATTGATAGTATCAGAACTCATTTTTTGATATCCACGAACAGTTAGATTGGTGCACGAACGACCCATAGATTTTACCAAGCGAAATCCACACATGATTTCTTGAAGACTTTGAAAACTTGCTGTTTTCGACCTTGGATTTCGAAAAACTAAACAATGTACGCTACATTATGAATCATCATATCTGTTTACGAATTATTACTGTCTAGTCTTTATCTCTCGCTAACTAGTCAGTGTACTGACTTGTTTTTGCTATACAATGTCTTATATAACGTTACCGGGGAGTGACACGACAAATCAGAATACAGTGTAATTAAATCTATTTCTGGTAGCAACAAGATATTGTGACAATGGATAGTTTTAATATGTTCTAATGCATTGTATCCAGTAACAAGAAAACACATCAATTCACAAAAGTAAATTGTAAATATTCCGCTACTACGTAACGAAACTCATAAGAAATATATTTCGAATTAGTGATGTGTAATCTTTGGTGCGCTCAACTGTATATTTGGTTGTAAACAAAAAACTGAATGTTCTTACGAATGTACGACTGCATTTTAGGCAGGTCCAAAAAGAGAATTTTGTGTAGATCTCTGTCATCCCCTCAATTTCGCTTTTCGTTTCGTCTCACAAGGGTATTCAGTGATCTTGCCCGTAATTCCGAATCCACTTTAAGGGCGGAAATATCGGATTTATCAAAGCCTGTTTTCATTTAGTATTTGGTCTACAGGTGTATCTCACTTTGTTGCTTCGATTCAATATTCCGTCCTAATGATCCTCCCGACAAACAATAGTCACTTACCATTTTTCGAAGGGCAGAAGTAAGAATATTCCCTTTACACTAGACAAAGTTCAGTTGCTCTGTTCCAGAATTACAAACGAGCTTCGGGGTATGTATTTCATTTTAAATGTTGTCTGCTAAATCCTCCACTGTCAAGCGTATACTAATTTGAGTAATCAGTTCAGCTTATTCTTGACTATGAAACAGGCAGGAAAAAGCACCGTTTGGTCAATATGCCTTGAGTTTTTTCGTACATTTTAGCCAAACTTGCTTCGGTCACTTCCTAGATAAGGATTTTGCTTATGAATTAGTGCACGGATAACATAGTAATTTTTATTTTAGTGATGGGTTCAGTGAAAATGTGTAATTTATCAACACTAACTTCAGGTTGCACAACCCTTTAGCAGTCTCTATTGTATTCGTTAACACAAATGAGAATGATTGAACATGCGCATGACAGACCTTGATTACTAGCTATGAGCCCATAGTTTATTTAGTAGTACATTTTCCTATCTCTTTAACATTTTCTTTGCTGCTCTTTAGTCTCCGACAGTCGATTGATGAGTTATTCAAGTATTAGTTTCACGAGACTTATAAGTATTTGTTAACGATAAGCTCAATCACCCTCGATACCACAATATTATTTCTCAATGTGCAAAGCGGGGAAGACCAATAGGCACTTATTTTAATTCTGCTACTTTCTTTGCACAAAGATATTAACTATTGCAGGCGATCCACTCCAAGTAGTTCCCTCTAGATGTTTCTAAAACTTGATTGTCATTTTCATGAGATAATAATTTTAAAACAATAATTTGATGGTCATTGTTTTTAATGAGTTGATCCGTACTTCAGTACATGATGTACGCTACTTAAATCAAGCTTAAATCCTTCCTCTTAGGCGAAATATCAAACAGAGTCACTCTGAGAATGACTTAGAATATTATATATGTACGGACGTCATACAAATATACATTTTTGAGTACCAACTGTCATAATCGCTGCAATTCGTTCCATCTTCAAGGACCGGGTTCATGTTTTCCACACTTAAAATAAAAAATGCAATACAAAACTTCAAGTCAGAAACATATAGAAAATCCATGTGTTTGTCTGAAACTGTTAGAAGCATTCGGATGATACAAATGGTTCTTCATGAAATAAAAGTTTTCGCCTAATCGGCTCCCATATCTAGTTGCAGTGGATCATCAATGCCTCCAGATAGAAACTTAAGTATATTTAACGATGAAAAGAGAAATATTAGTAAATTATGCATTCAAAGATATAGTATTATTTCTGGAACGACAATCTCCTATTAATGCACGAAGCCTAAACAGATCAAACAGGACACACAATGACTATGTCAAAGTTTTACAAAAATGAATATGCTATATTAAAACTAGATTAATACTTCGACCAGTCCTAAAGCAGTAACGTGAAATTGTAGCGTGGCGTCGAGTCGCTGTTGACTATGAACACCACTACATGAAGACTACGTGCCAGTTAACCAATAGGATCCCCATAGGCCAATATCAGAAGGCAGATGATGACTGTAGTCGAGATGTATTTGTTAGCGATCTCGTGGTATCGAAAGAATACCGAGATCGTAACAAGGAGTACAAGGGGATTCACTGAGCAAACGTAAGCGCGTACGAGGTCACAATCAATGGAAGGAAGGATGTCTTTGGTACAGTTGAACAAACAAGTACAGCAAAACAATCACTGGTAAAACTGGTTATAATTACGATTGTTTCCATTATACCAATCGCGTTCTGTTGATGAAGTATGTCACTACAGGAGCCCTCGCTAGAAAGGGTTTACACTTTCGATACGTAGCAGTGTCACTCGTGGAACTGAACGGTAAACGTGAGATTGTAGTACAAAAGGGTTGGTAGAACAGGAAGCTGAAGACGTAGGACAGAGCCACATTGAGCCAAGGAACTAGAAGCGACCATAACAACCAATTGCGAGACCAAACATATGTCAGACGAATTCGAAACCAGAATATCGACTGAGTGCCTTGACAAGAACATGTGCCGGCTTTCGCCAAGATTGACTGAAGTCGACGCTACCGAACAGGCGATGGTCGGAAGTGTGTGCTCAGGATGCAAAAAAATAAAAAAAAGGAAAAAGGTGTACTATGAATATAGTATAGGCATAGTCCTACACCGTACCCGTTGTTGATTGTGCGGTTGATCGCGAAAGCATACGGGTAGGCGTACTCGGCGACCAGAACGTGAGACGGGAGTCTCGTCCGTAGATGGTGTGGGTGACACGTGTCATTGACCGGGACGTGAGAATGAGGTTTTTTATGTATCCAGGGTGGGATCCGAGGTAGACGTAGGGATCCTGCTAGTAGGTTTGATGGGTCTAGCATTGAGTTTCAGCTTATTAGGCAGGGCACTGTCATCGACGTGTGCTGGTCTCATCGTGATGAGAAATCACGTCAAAAAGTCCTATGCAGGACTGTTGCAAAGGTTTGCGTACCAAATCTACTCGTATGAAAACATGTGAACAGGTAGATAACTCTCGAGGGCGAGTGACCTGTCGATGTTATATTCGAGTTGACACCGGAGGCAGTGTTCGCATATATTCAGACAGTCGATGAACGTAGTCTGATTTACCGAAATCCTTACTACTCTGTGCTGTAAAAAATCCGTGCCGTAAACAAGTTAGGCGGCGGAACATTGAATATCGTTCTGATGCCTAAGTGAACGAGCGGTAAGGTTTCGTACCAATTGTCGTTTTCGTGTGCTCGAAGAGCACTTTTAAGTTGGCTATGAGACCGTTCAACTAAACCATTTGATGCTGTGTGGTAGGCGGTAGTGCGTATGCGTTCCGTACCAAGCAGCCGAGTAAGTGAGGAGAATAATGCGGACTCGAATTGTTGTCCTCGGTCAGTCGTGAGGGTCGAGGGACAACCATACAGTGCTATCCATCGTTCTACGAAGCGGTGAGCAACTGTCTCCGCCATAATAGACGTGATGGGAATAGCTTCGGGCCATCTTGTAAAACAGTAAATCCACGTGAGTATGTGATCATACCCATGCGATGGTGACAATGGTCCTACAATGTCTGTATGAACGTGATCAAAGCGAGCATCAGGCGTAGCGAACGTGCCAATGCGGGCAGCTACGTGCCTGTGCACTTTTGATCGTTGACACTGTAAGCATTGCTTTACCCACATACGACCATCTTTATTCATGAACTGCCAAACGTATCGTGCAGCGATGAGGCGTAATGTGTCTGCGATACCTGGATGAGACAGTCCATGAAGGGCATCGAAGACGAGACGACGGTAAGCAGAGAGTACGATGGGTCGGGGAGGACCAGTAAAAGTATCATATAGGATAGTACCTGAGTTAGTAGCTAGGGGCACTCCCTGGCACTGGAAAGAATGTATATTGTGGTGCGTCTGTACGAAAGGGATCGTCTGCTTGAGCTGCAGTCATATCAGGAAGATCTATCATTGGTGAAATAACTGAATCCACTTGAATACATGACAGAGCATCAGCAACATAGTTCGACTCGCTTTTAATATGACGAAGGTCTGTTGTGAACTGGGAGATATAGTTCAAATGTCTGCATTCTCGTGGTGAGTAGCGGTCAGACTTGGTATGCAGAGCATACGTTAAAGGTGAATAAAATGAAATTACGACCTTCTACTGCGTGCCGGAAATATTTGATGGCACAGTAGGCTGCTAGTAGTTCTCGACCAAAAGCGCTATTTCTCGTCTCCGTGGGAGTAAGGCGTCGTGGCTAACAAATATATTTGTTTAGCGCTTGATAGCCGGCAAGAATATTCCAATTAAAATGTAAGTCAGACAAGGAATAGTGGACAAACCAGTTGTGGTGAGATTATAATTTATGAACGACCTTTGAGCAACGTTATGGTGACCTTGAGAATGTCCACCTGCTAACTAGACGTAAATGAAGATTATAGACCAGTGTGGTGAATTACAATAATGATTTACAGTTGATGGTTAGAGTTAGGGATTTGATTTAGGGTTTTCGTCACGAACTGACGTCAGCTATAATACCGAAACGCTATTTAGTCAAGTGTATGAATGAACTTCGCGCCAAAATTCAAGACTTGTTATCGTAAATCTGATTGGTTCGTTTATATATTTTAGTCTCGCCGTACTTATCACTTCTTTATTATGAGTACGAAATTTACAGTTACTAATAGATGGTGATTGGAGGTAGTCGACAGGAAACCCTGGACCCGGGTTTCGTGCTACTTGGCACTCGTCAGCAAGGTGTACCTGTAATCTTTGAGGGAACTGGTGCTCCCTGGCGTATTCGATCCCGTGTCACCCAGCTTCACAGTCAGAGATGTTACCACTGAGCTATCCGGGCCGCGACCGACCT